CAAATTTGACATAGGGCATACACTACTTGCCAACTTACCCCCCCCCCTCCTTAATCTTTAAGTAAAGAAAAAGCCGGTGATTCTCGCGCCGCCTTGAACCATTCACACTGTTACAAGAAGAGTGATGAGATTGCCTATTTGTTGCGTGAGCGATTATTGCAAAAGGGGGAGAAAGAAGAAAAGAAGAAAGAGTTGAAGAAGGGAAAGGGGTGAAAGAATGGAGGGGATGATAAAACTCCTGAAGGTGGCCGAAAGGAAACCAACTTGTAAGGCAGCTCCGACTAGCCAGATTAAAGGTAGAGTGGTCTGGGTCAAAACTAAAAGCGCCACCTGTTTTCAGCCCTAAAGTAAATTGGTTCCTGAATGCGAAAAATAATAAAACAGGAAACAGCCTAGAGCATACAAAGTAATTAAATCAACACAGGAAAGCAAGGAGAACAAAAAGCAGGGCATCAATAAGTGAAATCACCTATTAGCATGCGAGGACTCGTCGATTCGCAAATGCAGTCAAAGTCAGCTGTAAAAGGGACAAGAAATGTAAATAATCGAAATCAAATATTCTCTGATATGGTTTATATACTCTCTTCCAAAAATGCAAAGTATACAATATACCAAAAAAAAGGTGCAATATTTATCAGTAAATTATTAAAAATACTACCTATTCTATTGCCTTAAAACCATACTATACCTACCATTTTATTAAAAATTTATAACCTTATTTTAGTCATTAAAGATCTCAAAAATCAATGTACAAATCAATAGTCGTTTACCCTCGAAATAGGCCTATTTTCCCGGTGTACAGTTATCCCGATGTTAAATTAGGCGTAAAGTAGTGTGCTTAAAGTGCAAAGTTATACAAGGATGGATAAATCAGGTAATAATTGTAATAGGCAAAAATAAAACAACAAATTTCTTAAAGGTTATTATAGGCCTCTATCCAGCTATGGAATTTCTTAGCCCTTGCTTCGCTGAACAGTGCTACGTCGCGAAACTGACGTAAGTTTATATTTTGGCTACAGAACGTCACTCTTTATCTCAGCTGGAGTGTAACCATATAATTTCAGGACCCAGGACAACACACACAAATGATCAGACTGACTTACAGATTGAATCCTCAAATACGTGTTGGTTACCAGTCTTACAGAGACCAGGATGACTTCTGACTTGGAGTGAGGTCTGGAAACCTTCAAAATCTTTCTGGTTGGCAGGTAATGGGGAGATTTAGGTCCTCTTGAGTTCTGAGGTGGTTGGTGGGCAATCAGTACTTAAGATTGTCGAAGGAGATGCCAAGCATTCGATGAAGGGTGAAGACAACAGTAGCAGTGTAACACGAAAAGAATAAGAGGAAAAACAAAAAGGCCTGAAACGAAAATATATATATTCACACAGGGTAAGCAAAAGAGAAATAGTAGGAAACGAGAACTTACCAAAATACTTTGACCTTTTCCAGATACAGCACACAAAGGAAAACGGTTAAGTTTGAGGTTTAAACCCTTAAAATTTGACCAAAAATCTGCCTAGTGGCACTGTGATGCTTTAATCTCAGCAACTCACAAAGGGGATCCAATTAGGGACTCAAAACTTATGGTAAAATCAGCAAAAGCGCTAAGAGAGGAAGCTCACAACGTGCTCTTCAAAAAGCTGCCCTCTTTTTTACCCAAAAAAACCTATCCCTTCCGGAAGCATGGGTGTCCAAATAGGGAATTTTTAAGTGTCACAATTTTAGGTTGGGTACCATGGTACCATCGAGGAAGGGAAAGCAGAAATCTGTAATTGGACCAAAGCAGGGAACTGTTATTATTTATAGTCAAATGTTTAAATAAATAAGCACAATTATTGTTAGGTGGTACTGTGAAAATAAAATCCTGAAAACTGCGTGAGTGTTTATGAACCTTACTGACTCGATTGGTAGATGGAGGTACCTTTATTTTAGGGAGAAAATTAATCCCGTAACAACACCAAGGATAATACACACTAAAGGCCGAAACATACGATTTTGCATAACGCATAAACATAAGCTACAACCAATCACAGGTTGTATTAAAGATCACCTAACCGTCAACTAAAAATCAGGTGACACCTAATACAAGTTGTGATTGGTTGGGGCTTATACTTATGCGCTATGCAAAACCGTGTGTGTTTCGGTCTTAACTACTACTACATGATAGCTGTGTAGATCAAATCTCAAGCCCCCACCACGCTAAAGAACCAGTGATGACGTAGGGTGTTTGCACTACAGGTTATGATTCCGCGGGCTTTTGCTCCATGCAAACTTGGTTTTAGTTAGTACATTAATTAACGTTCTAAAAAAAACGTTTTTTTATAGATCTCGTGTGCATCTTCCTCTTTGCCTATTATGTTAATCAAAATTAAATAACATTTTTCATCATAAATGTACATTCTAAATTACGACCGCTGACGCAAACAGCTGACCATGTAGTTGATGATGTCGTCAATGGTGCTACACCATATGGACGATAATGGACGCGATTTCCACAAACGAGGCCGATAAGCAATCCTGTGTAGTGACTAGTGTTATCGTATTATCCTTGCATTCGCTCTCTTTCGAAATGAAGAACTTCCTCTGTGTAAACGTCAAACAATTGTTGTATACATTTAGGCGTTTTCGGAAACACATCCTCGCACTTACTCGCTTTCAGAGCTATTCATTTTCTACTCTTAAATTTCCCAGAGAAACCTTAAACGCATGTTGTGTTTTAAAGGTAGGGCATTGCCCCCAATACCTCCCCCTGGCTATGGCCCTGGGTGTAATTAAAAGGAAAATAATTTCTCGAGGGTAATATCACTATTCTCAATCACATTTTCCGGAAAAATTGGAAAAAATTAGTTAGCAAGTACAGCCTGTTTTCACCACATACTAGTACTACGCGATTATTTGGCAGTTGGACCCACATACAACGGTTTTGGAACGAAATAAATGTTGAACCGCCGTGCCAAAAATCAAGCTCGGACTAAATTTCAAACCGACGGTGAGAAACGACGGTTTTCTACCACCCACTTCAATTTTAGATCGTCGTGTTTCATCCCGGCGATGAAAACCGATGAGAAAGAACGTAGTATGTACAGGGCCCTTAAAGGGCCCCCAGACTACGATGAAACAGACGGTTTTCATCGCCAGGATGAACCACGTCGTTCCAAAACCGAAATGTATGGTAGAAAACCATCGTGTTTTTCTACCACACACTTCGGTTTTGGAACGACGTATTTCATCGCGGCTATGAAAACCGTCGTTTTTCATCGTAGTATGCGGAGCCCTTGACAAAAGATGACAAAAGTTACATTTGAATTTGACTGACAGGGTGTTTTAACGACTGTTTTATAAAAATTTGGGCGTGGCACCCAAAAATTCAAATCTCCCGCTTTTCCATTTTAAAAACTTGGCAACCCTAGGAAAAGGGGGCCGGGGCCCCCTGAAAACTTGTTCTCATGTCGGCAATAATGCAATGCAACATCAGCAGCCTCTGCTGGTTAAGTCGGTATTTGGTGAGCACACGCCAAGAATCGTAAGCTAAGGGATTGCTCATCCTCATAAAGGCCGGGACACATCTATCATATATTCGTCTGATCCGACTCCGATCATACAATCAAGGTCCTTATTTTTGGAACCGAGGAGCAGCGTTCCCAGGAGAACGGGTGTTCCGTCTTCGTTACTCATATCAGTTGCATATCATTGAGAAAGACGGAACACTCGTTCTCCTAGGAACGCTGCTGCCTGTTCTAAGAATAAAGGGCCCCATACACTACGATGAAACACGATGACGGTTTTCATCGCCGCGAGGAAACACGTCGTTCTAAAACCGAAGTGTGTGGCAAAAAACCGTCGTGTTTTTCTACCACACACTTCGGTTTTGGAACGACGTGTTTGATCGTGGCGATGAAAACCGTCGTGTTTCATCGTAGTGTATGGGGCCCTTACGAACCGTGAATATATTGGCGTTTCCGATTGGTAGATCTAGTGCGGAACTAGTGCAATTTTTTCTATTTCTGTCTTTTTCTTCCACAGGTCGATTAAAAGGATGCAAATACACTCAGTGCGCACTGAATCTACCAATCGGAAACGCCATATGATCGGAGTCGGATCGGAAAAATGCATGAAGCCCGGGACACATCTATCATGCATTCTTCCGATCCGACTCCGATCATACAATCAAGGTCCTTATTCTTGAAACAGGGAAGCAGGGGAACACTCATTCTCCTGGGAACGCTGGTCCCTGTTCCAAGAATAAGGACCCTGAATGTATGATCGGAGTCGGATCGGAAGAATGCATGATAGATGTGTCCCGGGCTTGATAGATGTGTCCCGGCCTTTAGGCATACCATGGGCTGGGACAGAAATAGTATATTGTTGTAGTAGGAGTAGAAGCTTTACTTTATTGTGCTGAAGGTAGGTTATATATACTGCTGAAGCACAAAAAAGTATTTCTACTCCGTATGCAACACACTATTTTTTCTCCAAACGAATGGGGTAAGCTCGGGGGCAAGTGAATGGTTAAGCGGCAGTAAAAGTACGAGCGGCACTAAAAGTACTTTTACTGCCGCTCCAGCGGCACTTGGCATATGAATAAAACAGAAGCAAATGCTTTTACTTAAGTTTTTTGAGATATTCAGCTTTAATGCAGCAAAAAGAGACGGAGGTAGAGTAAAAGCATTTGCTACACTTTATTCATAAGACTGTGGACTCAGGGCTCTTGGACTATAGTTGTATTCCTTTCAAGAGTTTGAAACACTCGAGCTACTCGCTCCGGTGTTCAGGAGCCCCCGATTTGCAGGGAACGCGTGGTGCAACAAACACTTTTCGAAAGGAATAGGGGCGTGAAGCCCCGGAGCTGTTCCGGAGCTCCTCCTAGGTGTGAAAGGAATACAACTATTACCATCATCGGGGACGTATCGATATATTTTATCGATATTACGTATCGATAAGGCCTCCTCTACATTGCCAATTATGCCACCACCCCACCACTGATTCATAAAACGTAACCAAACAATTTCGTTGTCAAACTCAAAGAAAAACATTTCAGTTTCTCCAGCAAGTTCGCTACAAGTGCGAACTAAAAGTGAAATTTTATGAATTAAAACCGAGTGACAACAGTCCTAGTGGTTATGAAATAGTCGACAATGAAATCCGCTACAATTATAGCGTCGCAAAGTTCATTTCTAAAAGGCAAAGTCGACCAAATTCAGATGCAAAATCTTCAAAAAATCGTAGACTTTTTGGACAATATCGAGTACGAGGTTTTACGACTAGCGATTGTAGACGAAACTGATAAGGCAGTAGCTTGTGAGTTAAATATTTCAATTAAACTTGCTGATATTGTAATCGTATTGCTCAATCCGAAAACTCAATGTTTCAATCGTGCTTTGGCTGATGTTACACAACAGCAACTTGATTTGGGAACTCTTTGGCCAAAATCTGCAAGATTATTAAAACAAACCCTTGTCCATTTGCAAAGAATTTTTGTAATTGCTCCTGATTCAATTGAAGAGCACCTGAGTGTCTTAAAAGAGTATTTATTACATTACAAACAAGAACCTTTATACGAGAAGAATTTTTATTTGATTCTAAATGAGCTTAAAACAGAGATTGAAAGTTTGCCACAGGAAAATTTCAATGTGCAGCTTAAAAAAACTCTAGTAGGCAATCAGGAGGTTGATGTCGTGACTCTATCGGCCAAGGAATTGAAAAATATTGTAGCTGGAGAAGTGCTTTTAAAAAACCTTTTAAAGTCACAGATAATGCAAAGCGAATGGCAAGATTTTATGGGCAAATTTATTTATGACAGTGAGGAACAACATTTAATAAAGTCTATTAAAGTAAGTAGAATTATAATGGATTTTTTATAGTTCCACTAAGTGATCACGATAATAATAATGTAACCGGTAACAATTTATTATTGTCCTTGTAGATTATAGAAAAATGTTTAGAAGATTATGGTCCTGACAACGTTTTTTTGAGCTTCAACGGGGGCAAAGATTGTACTGTCTTGCTCCATTTGGTGCAAACAGTTTTGCGCAAAAACTACCCCAACCGCAAAGAGAAATTGTTTTGTTTGTACGTGCGAAGCCCAAATGTTTTCGAAGAGCAAGACGCTTTCATTGAACAGTGCATGATCTTTTATGATTTAGAGGTATAATGACATATTTAAATGACAATAATTACACTTCCAGCATATTTTAATGGAAGAACGAATATATTATTAAATTTGTCCTTAGGTGAGGCGTTCGTCTGTCAGTGTATCAGGAATATTATTTTCACTGTTCACATAATACCTACTGCACTGAAAAATAATTCCAACAAATCAAAAGCCAGTAATAGTCAAATTTTGAACTATTACCGGCTCTTGAGGGCTTCTAGAAAAAATATGCAAGGCCTCAAGAGCCAATAATAATCACATTCGTATCAAAAGTGAAATTTGTAACCAGAGCCGGCACAAATACATTTACTTGAAGTACAAGTACAAGTTTTTTGGTTGAATTGATTATGAAGTAAACTTGAAATTTACTTGAATTTCATCAAGTGATTTACTTCAAGTAAAAACATTGAGCTTTAAGTAAAGTGGTATTACTTGAAGTATATTTTAGTACTTGACGTATGTAAAATACTTTAAACAAATTACATGAAGTAATTTTGGTACTTCAAATATCTGAAATCTGTCCAAAACAAGACAATTCTTAGTATTTTTCTTAGTTATTCACAATATAATCCGATCCTCATTCTATTCTGGTATCTTATCTGAGATTTATGTTATTTTATTTTTAACCATATAATGTTGTCATTACTGACTTTTCAAAAATTTGAAAATGTCATTTCTGTCTTTTCATTTTCCTGGTCCATTACCTGTCTCAGGATGGGAAATGAGGACGGGAAATTTTTTCCGTCCTCATTTCCCGTCCACGGACGGAAAATGGAGCAGGGAAATATTTCCCGTCCTCATTTCCCGACCTCATTTATTTGGTTGTTGCGAATTTTTTATTTTTTTTTTCAAGAAATTATGGTTAAAAATAAAATAGTATACAAACCTCGACGGGAAACTTCATTGCTGTCTCGAGGTACAGTTTATCTCGACGCTACGCGTCTCGATAAACTATATAACCTCTCGATCAGCAATGAAGCATTTCCCGTCTCAGATTGTAATATACTATATTATTTATAAAGTAATAAAACTACTAAGGTGCTTTGGTGCTTAGTAATTTTTTATATTTTTGTTTGTAAGGTGCACCGATTGAGTAACATAGGTACAGGGTACATGATATTTGATTATATTTGAGCCCATATACCTGTCCTAAAGTCTACTATTTAAGGACCGGTTAGAAATAATTGCCCAGATCTTCATTGGATATTCGAGCAAATTAAAATAAATTATATATCATTGGAAAGAGCAATAAATTGTCTATAAATCCGTGCAAAATTGAGTTCAATAACTCGAATAGTTTTTGAGTAATTGAGCCTCAAAGTTGATTTTTAGTCTAAATTTTGTCAAAAACATCAAGCTCAATTTTCTCAAAAACTATGAACCTGGGAATATTATAAATAACAGGTCTTTCAGAGCTTAATAAGAGCTACAAATGTCGGAAATTTCAATGCAATTTGCACAACGGTTACCAAGCAATTGACGTTTGAATATTTTGAAATCAGAATTCAAAGGGGGTACCCTTATGAAAAACTCGATTTTTTTATTTTTCAGTTTTGCTCAATTTTGAGTTTACCAATCGATAGAGCGGGCCCAAATTAGTGGAAAATAACCCCGACATTATTTCCCAATGACCATTTTCAGCAGAAACAAAAATAGAAAAAAAATCCTCTTTTTGGCTCTAGAAAATTTTCAAAATCTTGACATGGTCATGAACAATTGCGCATATCTTTGTTAAATTTTGAGCAAATTGGAATAAATTATACAGGGTGTCCCACGGTGGATGGCGTATTAGACGTTAATGGAAAACTAAAAAGCGGATCATTTTGAAAATTTGGCAACCGGGATAAACGACTATATTCTACACTTTAAAAATATTTTTGTTTATGCGGTGTTGCCGCTTCTACTCTATACTAGTGGCAACATCGCTATTTTAAATGGAACACCCTATATATGATTGCAGACTTGGATTTTGCGTTAAATTCTGAGCAGATTTTATGTGATATACCCTATACCTAAGTTCAGCTGTTTCGGAAATATTGACAGTTGATAATTGACTTTTTGCAACTTTGACAGGCTGTAAAACCTAAACGGTTAATTTTAGAGGAAAACCGATTTTACTTTCCTATCTTAGATTTTCATAAACTATCATTTGACACCAACTTTGAACTTAACCGGAGATTAAATTTAACTGGATTTTTTAATCATGGATTTAATTCAAAGTTGGTGTCAAATGATAGTTTATGAAAATCTAAGATAGGAATGTAAAATTGGTTTTCCTCTAAAATTAACCGTTCAGGTTTTACAGCCTGTCAAAGTTGCAAAAAGTCAATTTTTAACTGTCAATATTTCCAAAACAGTTGAACTTAGGTATAGGGTATATCACATGAAATCTGCTCAGAATTTTACGTAGAATACAAATATGTAATCACATACAGGGTGTTCCATTTAAAATAGCGATGTTGCCAATAGTTTAAAGTAGAAGCGGCAACACCGCATGGTCGAAAATATTTTTGAAGTGTAGATCATGGTCGTTTATCCCGGTTACCAAATTTTCGAAATGATCCGCTTTTTAGTTATCCATAAACGTCTAATACGCCATCCACCGTGGGACACCCTGTATATAATTGGAAAGAGCAATAAATTCTCTATAAATTCGTGCAAAATTGAGTTCAATAACTCAAATAGTTTTTGAGAAATTGAGCTTCAAAGTTGCTTTTTAGTATAAATTTTGTCAAAAACATCAAGCTCAATTTTCTCAAAAACTATAAACCTGGGAATAGTGTAAATTACAGGCCGGTTAGAGCTTGATAAGCTGAAAATTTCAACGCATTTTGTTCGACGGTTACCAAGAAATTGAGGTCTGAATATTTTGAAATCAGAATTCAAAAGGGGTCCTACCCTAATGATAAACTCGATTTTTTTATTTTTCAGTTTTGCTCATTTTGATTTTACCACTCGATCGAGTGAGCCATTGGAAAAAGCATTAAATTCTCTATTAATAAAGGTATCAGCTTAAATATAATCAAATAGCCTGTACTAATTCAAGATTCGAAAATGTTTGTCATATTTTGATATTTGGTAAGCTGTGGAATGTAAAAAAAATAATTATATTGTCTACAGAATATCAAGAAACTTATCAAATATAAGTAGGTACTCAAAATACTTGACTTAATCAAGTAAAAATCCAAGTATTTTAGAATAGATATTGAAAGTACAAGTACATAACAAAAAAAGTAATTCAAGTAAAATACTAAAGTACTTATTGAGGGGGTAACAACTGGACCAAAATTTGTACATGTATTGCGCATTACATAAGTAATTCTGGTAATTCCAATGTAATGCCAGTAATTACATCATAATGCCATGTAATTTAACGTAATGCCATTATAATTATGTATACCTAGGCTATATGAAATAGTTTTACAGTTTTACGTAAACCAACCAGAAAAACAAACCATTATACATTGTTGATAACAAACATCATATCCTATAGTTTGTACAGGGTGGCCCGTTTATTTTGTCCTATCTCGGTATATGGAAATCCAGAAATTTTATGACAAAAAGTTGTATACAAAAGTTGTAAGACTTAAATCAATAATTTGTTTTTGGGTATCTGAAGGAGTGTGACACATCAAATTTAACTTTTTTTTAATGTTACACCCTGTATATTTTTATAGTTTTTGATAGCGCTTCCAAAGAAAAATATAAATAGGTATATATGTATAGTTTGACGGGGTTGTTGTGCACGGTTTCAGATTTATTTCCGGTTATTTTTGGGGAATTTCCTGTTTTTAGATTATTTTAGAAACGTTAGACGTTGAAAATAAATATTTTAAAGTCGGACTTTGACCAGAGGAAAACTTGCAAAAAAACAAATTAATGATTAAAACTCTACAACTTTTGTATAAAACTTTTTGTGATAAAATATCTAAATTTCCATATACCGAGATAGGACAAAATAAACGGGCCACCCTGTACATATTTATTAATATTCTATAGATAGTTTTTTTTCCAAGGCTCTGGTTATTCATCTTCAGATAAACTTGCTGGTAACTATCTGCAAGATTAATTCACCGTTCCATAATTCTGTTGGCAGCAGGTAACTGGCCGAACAATGGGATTACAGACTACGTTTTTTCACGTCAGATTGCATACCTGACAGTTTATCAGAAGGTAAATAAACCGGTCTTATATCTGAATAAAATGCTAATAATTGGCCTTGTTTACAGATTGTACGTCATTGTCATGAGGCATATGAAATTTCTAGATTATAGCTTGGTTCGAGTTCGAAAAAAGGATGGTTCTAAAACAATTCAAAACAATCGCACAGTTTTTCAATCAACAAAATGACAAAGGCTCGGCTATTAATCATAAATTTCATTAACTGAGCAATTGTTTTGAATCGTTCTAGAACCTTCCTTTTTTCGAAACCGCACAAAGCTTATGATTTTTAATTGTTTCTAGCCTAAACAGTCGAATTTAGATAAAGCACATTATGCATGAAATTTATCTAAAATTTTGCGTAGAATCCAAAAATGATGATAATATATAGGGTGGCCCATTCAAAACAAATACATATTTTACTGTAACTTTTTTTTCATTCACCCTGTATGTGAAAATAATTTAAATTTTATAGATACACAAACTTTTCCAAAATTATTTTAAATATGTATTGAGGTTAGTAATATGAATATGATCTTCCAGTGGATTATTTGGAAAATTTGAGGGTTAATGAAATAATACATGCTCGATTAATACCTCAATAAATACATACAATTATTGTATACTAGTGGCCCACTCCGGCTTCGCACGGTTATAAAATACATAACCTATGTCACTCACTGAAAAAATGATTAAAATCGATCCAGTAGTTTTGATTTATTTTTTAATTTGGAGTAAAACAATTCCCCTTTCCCTATACCATGAAGATTTCCTGCTATCTTTGGAATATCTAAATTCATACACTACATTTTTACTTATTTACTTTTTTACCTATTTATTTTATTTTTACAACAATTAATATATTACAGAATCAACAATGTATTCAATTGAATAAGGATTAATGCTGTATTGGTTAAAATCGCTTCCTGCGTTTGCAATGTAAGGGAAGAAATGTAATTATTTACGACATAACATTGGAAACCTCAGAAATAACAGTATTTCTCCACTATTTAATGGATGTTATTATACATATAAACCTTCCTCTTCAATCACTCTATCTATTAAAAAAAACCGCATCATAATCCGTTGCGTAGTTTTAAAGATTTAAGCATACATAGGGATATAGGGACAGAGAAAGCGACTTTGTTTTATACTATGTAGTGATGATGTACCTACTTTAAAACCTTGGAAATCAACTGATAGATCAACCATACTCCATTGAGTGCAAGCGTAATTCCGCCATATTCAAAGGTAGGTAATACCTTGTCATGTCAGTGTAATCCCTGGTAATACCGAGTAATGTCACCATAATGCCGGTAATTGCACCGTAATTCCAGTAATGCGTCGTAATGCGCAAGTAATGTGTTGTCATGCCATACAATTTGTACATGTTTTGCCACCAGTTGTTACCCCCTCGGTACTGTAACGCACTTGAAGTAAAATTTCAAGTTATTTACTTCAAATATTGACAGCTCTGTTTGTAACCAATCAAGAGCCAGTGATAATCAAATTTTGGTCTATTACCGGCTCTTGAGGGCCTATAGAAAAAATATCCAAGGCCTCAAGAGCCCATAATAATTGACAACTAACTCCTAATTAACAAAAGATAATCCATTTAATTAGCAAACAAAAAAATTTATAACTGAATACATTTTTCAGATATTGAGCATAACAGGTAACATCAAAGAAGCTCTTAGAATCACAATAGAGCAAAAACCACACCTGAAAGCCTGTTTCATGGGCACACGTAGGACAGATCCTTTTTGTTCAAACCTAAATGAATTCCAGGTACCATTTAAAAAACAACTCAAACTGCCTGTAATATAATTCAACCAATTCCAGATGACAGATCCAGACTGGCCAGAAATAATGCGCTGTAGCCCGTTTTTAGACTGGCACTACTCAGACATATGGGATTATTTGCTCTACTACAAAGTGCCTTATTGTCAACTGTACGATTTAGGATTCACTTCATTGGGTAACGCAACAAATACAATCCGCAACCCCAGTTTGCTCGTTTCGCAGGAAGAACAAGAAATCTATTTGCCTGCTTATAAATTGCTCAACGAGCAACAAGAGCGAAGCGGCAGGAATATTAGCAAAATTTAATTTTGTTGCATTTTTACAAAATTTGTTGTACTTAAATTAAATTATTTTTGTTAAATGAAACTTCAATTTGTTGTTAATAAAAAAAGGAAAACATTTATTTGCCTATAGCAATGATAAAATTTGCTTAAAATTATTTGCACTTGATTTATAAGTGAGGAAATTACTCTGCACTGAATTTAAAAACAACCATCAACTGGTATTTTCTTCATCATACATGCTAACATTTCTTCTTTTGAACTTTTTAGGTGTCTCTGAATCGCTTTTAGGCTCCAAATTAGAAACTTCTTCCTCATTATTCCTTTTTGGTGTTGAGGTATTCATTTGTGAATCGATTTTAGCCTCTAAATTAGAAACTTCTTCCTCATTATTCCTCTTTGGTGTTGAGGTATTTTGTTCAAGTTCACTTTCAAAAACATTTAAATTTGGTGTAGAAGTTAGTGAAGGCTCTGGCAGCTTCATTGGAGTCATATTATTAGTATCAATATCATCTTCATCTGAGTCATCAATAAAAGTAGTATTTTCCAAAAAGCTATTGTCCACGCTCAAATTCAATCCTTGCTTCTCAGAAATTAAAAATATTGGATCATCTATGGTTAAACTCTCACAAAGCTCTACAGTTTGTGGGTTTAGTTTAGCTTTTGGCTGTTGCTGTCCTTTAACAGGGCTACCATTATAAGCTGTTGCTGTAGGTTGGAAATTTTTAGGTACCTTTAAAGTGCCATGCATTTTCTTCAAAACAAACTCCTTTTCTTCGTCAGTTGGTGTAAAAAAATACCTAGTACTACCTGTAGGCCCTGGCATGTAATTATTAATTGTTTTAACACTCAACAAATGATTAGTCAAATATAAAATAGACAACCATTCTAAATCGTATTCAATTTGGATTTTTTTTGTTTCATCATGGGGTATTTCCACTACTTGCAAATAATGTCTTTTGGGTAAGCATTTGTCCAAAGCTAAAAATTCAGTTGTTTGGTTGTTTGGATGGGGCACAGTTGCAGTAAACTTGCAATGAAGATGGGCAGCAAACCAGTGACTTGGTTTGAGATGTTTCAGCAGCTCCTCACTAGGTTGACTACCCAAACTATTATTATAAATTTCATCTTTGAAAAATGGCTTCTTTTTCAATAATTGGGGCACATTGCCATGATGGTACACCCCAGTAGGCCAATCATGCGACAAAAAAACATCAATTTTCCCACTTAGTTGCTTCAAACGAAACACCTCCAAGTTTCTTATATGGTAAACACTTCTTTTAGTGTTTTCATCGTAGGGGGGCCTTTCAAAGTGGCCTTTCAAGTAGTCGCGGGACTTGTAAATGCCCGAAATTCCGCCGATTCTTACTCCCGCCACGTTGATTACCCCCGCGTAGCCCAAATAATAAATGTTGGGCGCCACCCAGCCACCGTAAGGCAATTCTTGGAGGTAGTTGGAAGCTTCATGGTTGCCTCCGATGAAAATTGTCAATAGGGGAGCTTTTATTTCGCCACTAAAATATCTGAAATTAAAGGCAATTTTAGACAATAATTGTGTGTTTTTTGGCAAAGTGGATATCAATGAATTAAAGATTTCTAATCAAACAGTAACAAGGATAGGAGATATACTAAGGTGTCAGCATAGAAATGTTGAGAGGCTTATTGGAACAAAATATAAGATTTCTCAACAGTTCTTTCCCTCCACAATTTTAACCAATATAATATTCAATGTGGTAAAGCCTCAAAACGCTATTCTGAACTGAATTAGATTCATATTTTCCTATTTCTGGCTTTCATAACGTTTTTATTTACAGGAGTTTAGAACAACACAAAAATTTAAGAGCCAGGAATAGGCAAAAATTGAAACAAAAAAATTGAGAAATGGAGAGGAAGTTTAAGGCAAATTGTGGGAAAATAGTCAGACAGAAATGGACAAAAACTGAGAAATTGAGAAGGAATTGTTAGATAAATATAGACATTGTTTTTCCAGGCTGTCATATTTACTCTATTTTCTGGAATTTTCTATATTCAAAAACCAAAAATTCAAGAGCCAGGAATAGGCAAAAACTGAAACAGAAAAATTGAAAAATGGAGAGGAATTCAAGGCAAATTGTGAGAAAATAGTGAGGAAAATAGTTAACAGGAATGGGCAAAAACTGAGAAATTGAGAGAAAATTCATGGGAAAATGAGCAGATTAGATAAATATGGACAAAGTTTTTCTCTTCCAGGCTTTTATATTCACTCTAGTCTATTTTTATTTTATTTTTTTTGTTCAAACAAATAAAAATTCAAGAGCCAGGAATATATACAAATTGAGAGAGAGAAATGGAGAGAAACTTTAAAGTAAATTGTAAATTGATGTGGTAGAAGTGAAACTTGTATTCTAGGACTATTGCTGCCTTGCTAGAACAGCTTTCATTGCAGTTTTCCGTTTCATAACAACAGGCAGGCCGCACATCAGAGAAACATGAAACATGAAACAATAAATTACAAAAAGCGAAACCGTTTCTTTCTTACATACTAATTAAAGAAACAAGAATTATAGTTTCATAGTCGTTTCTGGTAGTGAAGTGTGGAATGGAAAGCTGCCCAAAAAATTGGCCTATTTTTGACAACCTGTCAAAACAATTTTCCATAATATTTTTCAAGTTCAATTAGAAAAAATGCCATAACTTTGTTTTGAACCAAATATCGACTTCAAATTTGTTTTATCTTATTGGGAAGTCTTCAAACTATGATTTTTGAAAGTTTGAAGCTGCCCAAAAAATTGGCCTATTTTTGACAACCTGTCAAAACAATTTTCCATAATATTTTTCAAGTTCAATTAGAAAAAATGTCATAACTTTGCTTCTGAACCAAATATCGACTTCAAATTTGTTTTATCTTATTGGGATTTATTGGGAAGTCTTCAAACTACGATTTTTGAAAGTTTGGAGCTGCCCAAAAAATTGGCCTATTTTTGACAGCCTGTCAAAACAATTTTCCATAATATTTTTCAAGTTCAATTAGAAAAAATGTCATAACTTTGCTTCTGAACCAAATATCGACTTCAAATTTGTTGTATCTTATTGGAAAGTCTTCAAACTATGATTTTTGAAATTTTGAAGCTGCCCAAAAAATTGGCCTATTTTTGACAGCCTGTCAAAACAATTTTTCATAAATAAATTATTAATTAATTAATTAACTAATTAATAATACTTAATTAAGTCATTTAATAAATGAAATTTCATCGTTTTAGTGCTCATTTGCACTTATAGTTCCTGAGATAAATAGTGTTAAGCAATTTGGGGTGAATTATCAATTTTTCAATTTTTCTGAGTGCCTTTTTTCATAGATTTCGGCTTCAAATCTGAGAATAATTTAATGTATGGAGTTTGGGGTATGTTGATTGACCATTAGGATACAAAATCTCGACAGAATTTTTTTTTGAAATTTCATCGTTTTAGTAAGAAGGAACCTTATGATTTAGATTTTGGAAAACTTTGAAAGGTCATAACTTTTTTTCTATTATAGATAGAAAGCTGAAACTTTCACTGGATTTTATCCCTTTCAAAGGACTATAATCCCTGAAAATTTCAGCTCATTTGCACTTATAGTTCCTGAGATAAAATCGTGTTAAGCAATTTGGGGTGATTTATCAATTTTTCATTTTTCCTGAGTGCCTTTTTTCATAGATTTCGGCTTCACATCTGAGAATAATTTAGTGTATGGAGTTTGGGGTATGTTAATTGACCATTAGGCTACAAAATCTCGACAAAAAAAAATTTGAAATTTCATCGTTTTAGTAAGAAGGTAAGTATTGTTTGCCCAGCGGATCTGAATCTACGAAAGGAATTCGGACGTAAATGTGCGATGTTGCCACGTTTAATTATAAAAAAAAGCGAGAATACTAGGCATGAAGTATAGTTCATTTGAAAATCCATTTTTTATTAACAAAATGTAGATAACAATAAAACGCTAAATATTTCAACATGGTTGTTAGATCTATGCTTATTTTAATAACTGATTTCGTTAATTTTGTCTATTGTAAAAAACAAACATTTCCTAAACAATCCATCAACTTTTGACAATTTGGCAAGGATCCGGCCTGTATGAACCTGATTGGTGGAGTTTTTGGCAGGATTGCCATTGCCACGGGCAACCATGCAATTGTCAGTGGGCTAACATCACCTTACGTCTCGCTATTGGCCAGGGCTCTTGTCATTTTATCCTCCCATCTTGGAATATCGATTTATATTGAAATATCCAGTGGCGGCGGTTTGGTCATTGTCGATTTTCGTGAACGAGTTGCAATACGATAACATTTCCAAAAAGTTCCGCACGCAGCTGGGTATTTTATGAATGAAATCAGCCATTTTTTTTTACAACTGCATTCCCCTTACCGTTGCCCCGTAGATACAGAGTCGCTGGGCAGACATTACCTACTACCTTATGATTTAGATTTTGGAAAACTTTGAAAGGTCATAACTTTTTTTCTATTATAGATAGAAAGCTGAAACTTTCACTGAATTTTATGCCTTTCAAAGGACTATAATCCCTGTAAAGTTCAGCTCATTTGCACTTATAGTTCCTGAGATAAAATCGTGTTAAGCAATTTGGGGTGATTTATTAATTTTTCAATTTTTCTGAGTGCCTTTTTTCATAGATTTCGGCTTCAAATCTGAGAATAATTTAGTGTATGGAGTTTGGGGTATGTTAATTGACCATTAGGATACAAAATCTTGACAAAAAAAAATTTGAAATTTCATCGTTTTAGTAAGAACGTAGGAACGTACATACCGAGGGGTCAACACCTGATTGGAAATTTGTACACCTACTGTAAACTAGCCGTTCTAGTTGAGTATTGTTGAGTATTGTCAGGTATTGTCACTTTATTTTAGGTATTCTATGGTATTGTAGGGATTGTCAAGTATTGTTAACATATTGTAAGTATTTAACTAGTACTGTCGGGTACTGTAGATGAAACAGCAATACTTAACCTGTATTGTAAAGCAATTTTTAGTACTGTTACTAATGTAGAAGTACTGTTGGTACTGTTTATGTATTTTCAGAACCAATGTTAGTACTGTGAATATAATAATCTTTGTTATTGCTAAGTGTAAATTGTGTGCAAAAATCACTGCTGATGGTTTTTCATTGACAGCTCTTGTTTATTAAGTACATATTTTTTAAGCTTTATGCACTATGCATTGGTAAGATTCCAATTGTTTGATCGAATGTGATGAAACTAGGGAGTTTTACATGGCGGACCCCGTATATAAAACGTTTCCGCTTGTTAACTAAACCTGCTGATAACTTATTCTATAGGGTGTCTTAAATACCATGGGCCACCATTGGTAGGTATATCGGAAACGGTAAGAGATACGAGGGCCGTTGAATTAGAAAAAAGCTGCCAATTCCGGAGGTTATCAAAAATATATTTTTGCTGCTGCCAAATTTCTATTAGTTTCCAAGATACAGGGTAATTTGGTAAAAAACACCTAGAACTGTTTTTTTTTTACAAATCATCCTGTATCTCGGAAACTGATAGAAATTTGGCAACAACGAAAATATTTAGAGATGGCCCATGGTATTGTTGGCACCCTGTATATCCTTTATTAATTCCTAAACCTGTTTTACCGAGGTGCTGCTCACTCACCACAATTTGTACATCGATTTCGGAAATCGCGGGGTCTTTGACAATTTTCAAAGGATTTCGAAAGATTTCGGATATTCGACTTTCAACGCCGTACCACTAAGGATTTCAGTTAGGATTTCGGGATTTCTGAAGGATTTTGGTTGGGATTTCGGGATTTCGTAAGGATTTCGGATAGAATTTCGCTCTTCGCGATTTCGAATGAATTTCGGATTTTCCAAAGGATTTCGAAGTGATTTCACGGGATTTCAGATGAAAATGTATGTATGTATGTACAGCGATTTCGGGAGTGAGCGTGTGTATTTTTACGTGTATTTCTACATGTACAGGGTGTCCCAAATTCGAGGGTGACCATTAAGATATCGGAAACTATAAGAGATACGAGGTCGGTTTAATTATAGCAAAGTTGCGCAATTTTATGACCAATAAAATGCCGTTTTGAAATTTGAAAAATTCCGAATACTTCCGAAGATTTTCGGAAAAACCGAAATTTTGCAAAATCATTTTAATTTTTTCCTGAGTCTATTTGAAAAGCAATTTCAAAATAAATGTACTCAATCATTGTCACTTTTTTCCCTTAACAAGATATGTTGCTACCAAATTTCAGATTCGACTTTTCGTCTTTGAGCGGCCATAATCAACTTCATTTTTCTAAATATGGACCTGGATTTTTTATTTCAGATTTTAAGAGTTTCTAATGTCCCAAAACCTATGACGTATTGCATTTTTTCGAAAAACTATTTTTATTACCTACTTTTTAGCAATTTCCTACCAACATTATTTTCTCTGTCTCTCTCTAACACATTAAGTTCTTATGAAAAGTGCCAATGATATAAAATTTTCGAATAAGTGCAATACCCCATTGGTTTTGGGACATCAGAAGCTCTTAAAATCTAAAATAGAAAATAAGGGTACGTATTTAAAGAACTGAAGTTGATGATGGTGGCTCAAAGACGAAACGTCGAATCTGAAATTTGGTAGCAACATCTTGTGAAGGGCAAAAAGTGACAACGATGGAGTGACATTTATTTTAAAATTGCTCTTCAAATAGACTCAGGAAAAAATAAAAATGATTTTGCAAAATTTCGGTTTTTTTCCGAATATCTTCGGAAGTATTCGGAACTTTTCAAATTTCACAACAGCATTTTATTGGTCATAAAATTGCGCAACTTGGCCATAATTTAACCGACCTCGTACCTCTTATAGTTTGCGATATCTCAATAGTCATCCTCGAATTTGGGACACCCTGTATAAAAATAAGTATTTATTCATGAATTTCTTCACAAGATTAGCTAGGTATTTTTTGGTGAAAATATACAGAAAATTTCAGTTCTACTAACTTTCCTTGCCAAAATCAAAAATTAAAACCAAGCGGCAGTAATGACATTATTAACCTAAATTTAAATTGTTAACAAACACAAGCTGGGAATCCAGGGCTGGAACTCTGTAATGAATAGAGATATTTTCTGTGTCTTGGCGTCCCCTCTCTATTGATTTCGAAAAGATAGAAGAAGATAGCAAGTGCCATAGCGATAGGGATAACGATCTCTATCCATTACAGAGTCCCACAGCCCTGCCTTCCTATTGGTTGGAACGCCCTACCAGGACCAGAGCGCATGCGCGGAGGACATTTGGTAGGTTGTAATGAAAATGACCAGTTATGTCAATACTGTCGCTTGGATTTGGTTCAACTATAGTTAGGTATATAGTGAAATTATTATGGATGCACGTCATCAATGACGTCGAAATTATTGCCAATTGCAGTCTGTAAGAAATTAAAATTCGTTTTCAACTCGGAGCACATTCTCTCTTTTGTTAAACCTTAGTTAAAAAGAGATAGAATGCTGTCGGATCATATAACAAAATCTGCCTTCCGCAAATCTTCGGTTATTGATTTCAACAATTTGAGGTTTATTGTCAGTTTTTAACGAGTTGGAGATTGATAGTTGGGATATAATTTATACTTGGTATAAAATTGTATTAATGGAATTTCGGTTTTTTGGTATTAGGATTGTTGTCAATTTATTAATAAAAATGTAACCTGGGAAAATGACAAACTTTACTAGACTTGGTATTTCAGAGTGAAACGAAGTTGATTCAGCAACATTGTGACATGCCAACGTCATAAATTTTGATGACGTGCATCCATTATTTTATTATAAAACCACAGCGCCCACAATTCCAAATTCCATCCAAGCACTTTTCGAAAACAAACCTTGAAACAAACTATAGATAAATTTATTTTCCCTTCGATTTTCCCCAAATTCCAGTAAAAATATATTTTTTTAGAAAAGTGAGGTTAATGAAATACAGGATCAAATCACAGATTAAATCTCGATTAAATGCATCAAAATTAGAGCAAGTTTTGTTTCGTGGATTGATACACGTATTTATTTAAGGTCAAAGGCTAATATTTTTGTTTGACACTTACGTATTTCTTTCTGCAGTAACTACACGAATATGTAAAACGGGCTTTATTGTATAGGTATTATAAATACTACAGTCGTGAGCATTAAAAGTGGTACACTCGACTGACAGAGGTCTTGTCATTTTTCGCTATTTTGGGAAAATCTGAAAATCGAAAATCAGTCTTTTCTGTACAACGGATTTTTTGTCAAATATGACAATCCCTGTCATTGCCGACGGTGTAGCTGGTGAGGCCGTTTTACAATCAGAAAAATCGGTGTCCGTTTCTTATGCTCACGACTGTACATTTTCACAAAACTTTTTTTCACTATGCAATATCACACTTCACTTATTTTATTGCGAATGAATGCTCCTTGTGCACCTCTCTGCCACTTGGTCTGTCATGTGGTGCAACGCTTTTAAAAGCTCGTAACCCGATTCACACGTATTCTGGCCGAGTTCGTTTTTGTCATCTTTTTCGTCGATTTGCTCCTAAATTTTGACAGGCACGTGATTTGTAAATTGAAACTGTCTAATCCTGTCACGTGCCTGTCACAATTTCGGAGCAAATCGACGAAAAAGATGACAAAAACGAACTCGGCCTCTTTTAGTATTGTCAAGGGATTATCAGTATTGTCAGCGGGTATTGTGAGTACTGTAGAGATACTGTTAAGTATTTTTGATGGATTTTTGGTATTGTTTTAGTATTGTCAATACTGTAGAGCTACTTTGGAAGTATTAGAGAGTTATCGGACGTGCAATAAGGACAAGCAGTATTTAAATTAGCTTTATTTTGACATCTACGCATGCGCATTTGGGTCCGAAAATAAGGATTCCCTTAATAAGGTTACTGCTTGTCTTTATTTGTGTATGGTTAGTGCGAGGCAGTAAACTTCCCTTCTTTCAAATTTCTGACATTCTGGACGACTTTGACGTTTCGCTTTTCAATGATGACGTAATTTTACTTAGAAAATTTATTTTTTACAATAGTTTTCCATTTTATTGTGGGTAACATCAAAAAATGAGTATCAGCAGAAAATCACAAACAAAAATAAACACTTTTTGAGGCTGAAATTTATAAACATAGCTATCAGCTGTCAAAATTATGGATACAAAATAAGGTAATACTCTACCACCTACTACAGTCTTCCAATAACTGTTTTTTTCTTGGAAAAATAGTGCTGATGCACTAATAAAATAACGTAGATCTTTAATACTGCGAGGCAGTATTTAATAGTTCCAATAACTCTCTATTGTGAGTCATTTTAGGTATTGTGACAATTGGTATGAAAATACGTGGTATTTTTACAGACCTATGACGGTATTGTTTAAGTATTGTAGGTACTGTGAACTAATTTGTACACCTACTGTCAGGAGGTGTCGACCTATCGGTACCTACCTTATGATTTAGATTTTGGAAAACTTTGAAAGGTCATAACTTTTTTTCTCTTATACATAGAAAGCTGAAACTTTCAAAGGACTACAAACCCTGAAAATTTCAACTCATTTGCACTGATAGTTCCTGAGATAAAGTCGTGTTAAGCAATTTGGAGTGATTTATCAATTTTTCAATTTTTCTGAGTGCCTTTTTTCATAGATTTCGGCTTCAAATCTGAGAATAATTTAGTGTATGGAGTTTGGGGTATGTTGATTGACCATTAGGATACAAAATCTCGACAAAAAAAAATTTGAAATTTCATCGTTTTAGTAAGAAGGTCTTCAAAAAAAAACCAATCAAAGAGTGCTTTGGTTACGAAAACGTACGTCGGATTATTGTTTCTTTATTGGCCAGAATTTTTGACATGACATTTTGACATTAAATTTCATTGACTGACATTGTCAAAATTAAAGAAAAATATTGCTAAGACGTACGTTTAAAAAACCATAGCAATCTTTGATTGGTTTTTTTTTTGAAGACCGGATACCTACCTTATGATTTAGAGTTTGGAAAACTTTGAAAGATCATAACTTTCGGGTATGTTGATTGACCATCAGGATACAAAATCGAGACAAAAAAAAAATTGAAATTTCATTGTTGTGACGTCTCTTTTATCATTATCAAAAAGCAAAAAAAAAAAAGAAACGACGTTACTGGGTACAGATGGGTTGAAGAGAAATAGTGAAACTGAAACAGAAAAATAGAACGCGATCTATTTCATCAAGTAATGAAAATGTTTCACGCGCATGAAACAAATCCATTTTATTGGTGGGCGGACTTCTATTTGTTTGCCCCATTCTATTTTCATGAAACGTGTTTCACTTTTCATGTTTAATGTTTTGTTGATGTGCAGCCTCCCTTATACAACGTCCCAAAGAAAATTTTCACCTCGAAACCCATAAGCATCGATACCGATGTCCCCAAAAAGTAAAAATTTAATACCACTTACTTGTAAAACGAGCAAATGTCGCGGTATTTCGGGGGCACGGCCATACAAGTCAAATCTTCCGCGTTTCTGGAAGCCTGGAAATCCCCACAGCAAATCAGCAAGTCAATTTTGATATTTTGCCGCTGCTCCAAGCTACTAATTGTAGCGTAGATTCGCTCCAGTTCGCCATGGGCGCAACCTTCTACTGCTATTTTCATAATAATTTCTTTTTAATAAATTTTTCTGGCTTGCTTGGCAAACAACAACACAACAACAAACGCTTTGTTATTGTGAGGTTATGTTGTAGTTGCTTGCTTTGACAATTCAACTGAAGCAATGTTGCCTTATTTAAATTTACAAAAAATTGCCCTTTTATATCTCAATTAGTTTATTTTAAATAAAATAACAACAAATATAAGTTCTATAAGCAATAATATAATTAGTTTATTGTTAAATAACATCATAAAAGGGCAATTTTATTATTTTAAAAGACAAGTGCAAGTGCTGCCATCTAGTAAACGTCACTCGAGTCAATTCTGGCGCAATCGCAGTCATTTTCAAAATGGACTGTGTAAATTCAACAATTCATCCTTTTGTAAATTTGTTAAGAAAATGTTAATTTTATCGTGTTTGGAAGTGTTAAAATGCAATTAAAACGTTTCTAATTAAAAGGCTGTTGTACCCACAATCGAAATGGCTACCAGCGATAGCGTAAGTAACGCAAAAAGGGGCCCGGCAATTTGACTACCTCGTTGCATGTTTTTCTGTCCCATATTTCAGTTATTTAGGGCTTATATAACTATTTCCATGTATTAATCATGAATAAATAATATTTTCTAAGTGTACCTAAACACCCTATACTAGTAAAACCATGTAGTACAGCTTCACCTATTTCTATTTATAACATAAAGAAAAAGTCAATTACCATTACCATACAATCACAATTTGCATGCCAAAATGCAAATAACCACAAAAAAATTCAATTTCAGTCCGGCTTGGAGTTTCTAGACCTCACAGACGTTGACGAATATGAAAAGAATCGCCTCCTAACATCCCTACAGCCCTTACAAACAAATCAAAAATTCCCTTGGTTCATAGGGGATTCACAAGGTAAAAATGCATTATTTATTTGTAAACAATCACTATAATTACAAATTTGCAGGGCTTAAAACCACTCACACAAAAAGACAACCAATAACAATAGTCAATCCAGAAAATGGCCTAATTGTACCATTAAACCCTAAACCAGAACCTGTCAGTATCCAACCCTTTTATAACCCATTACCACAGTATTATCCTGTTGTAACCGCAATCCCAACTGGCCCGGTACACATTCCTCCTCAATCCTATCCAGAAACTTATCCAGCATACACCTATCCTGTAAAGCAACCAGTCTATTATGGAGTGCCTCCAGCACAGCCCCTGTTTGTATCCCACACCTCTACCAGTTATTATCCCAACAACGATTATATGGTAGAGCAAAGTGTAGATTTGAAGCCTTTATCAGCTGACGTTCCTGAATTTACTCCCAAGAATTTACAACCTGTTATAATTGAACCTCCAGAACCAGAAGAAGAAATTACAACCGAACAAGAAGTTGCCCCTAAAAGTGTGTGGGGTGCCAAAAAATCCTGGGCAAGTTTGTTCACTCCCAAGGACAGTCCCGAATTAAATGGAATTAAAATATTTCCTCAAATCAAAGAGTCAAATAACAATGAATGCCCCATTAAAAATCCCAAAAAAAATCAATTCATTGATCCTGATTGTTACAGGATGGGCGAGTTTTTGCTTAATTACTTAGTCGATGGTAGAACTATAAGTCTACAGCCTAGAGGCTTGATTAATCAAAGCAATTATTGCTACATTAATTCTATATTGCAAGCTTTAATTGCTTGCCCCCCTGTATATAATCTACTAAGCGGATTGGCTGAAAATATTACATCTAATGCCAAAAGGAAACCCACACCTGTTATTGACGGAATGTGTAAATTTGTTAAAGAGTACAAACACTTGCCTGCCAATATGCGTGTGAGCAACAGAAGGTCTGAGGGCAACAAAAAGGATCAGAAAAAAGATCAAGGAGTTATGATCAATACTGATATTCCGTTCGAGCCTGCTTGGATTTATAAAATTTTGCACAACTTGCAAACTGATTTGATGGAGGGACGTCAAGAGGATGCTGAGGAATTTTTAGGGTGTTTGCTCAACAATTTGAGCGACGAAATGTTAGAGGTAAGAATGGTTTGTTTGTTATATTTTGCACACTTTATCCATAAGCTATAGGTATAATATTTAGATGATCTTATGGATTTCCACATAGACATATAATGAGGTTTTTTGGGATGCTATGTGTTTCCAGACAAAAAAAAATTATGGCTCAATTTTCAATGTTGATATTCAATTATATTCTGTTGTGTCTAGGGTTTCCATAGAGGTTTTTTGGAATTCAGGACAAAGTAGTGAAGAAATCCGGACAAAATCCGGACTTCGCCGGAATAGCTATTTATGCAACAAGTGTGTAAAGTGAACCTTTCTTTACGAATGTGAATTTTGACGCACAAGCCAAAGGGAGTGCGACAATCACATGAGTGAAGAAAGGAGCTTTACGCACGTATTGCATACAAACTTTTTTCTACCAATCAAATATGTTTAAAAAATAGATTTAGGGCGGGTATTATAAAACTACTTTGAGAGTTAACTTAAAGTTAACTTCTGGAATTACATGTAATTCAAAAAGTTAACTTCAAGTTAACTGTCAAAGCAGTTTTATAATACCCGCCCTTAGACAAATGAAGTATTTTCACTTTGAGTAATTTACCAGAAAAATACTAAATTGACAGTTGTCGACATTACTTTACGCACTAGTATGCGTGAAGTGGAATTTTACATCTTCTGAATAGTGCGAAAAGTGAGTACCCACTTCCACTTCACGCACGGTAGTAGAAAAAATAATTTATTTTTTTTATAAAGGATGAATTTTGTTTATTTTTTGCAAAAATACATTTTTACAAAAATTAATAAATAACCGTGAAATATTTAACAGAGTTATAGGTTGTTTTCACGTTCTCGGAGTTTTCCGGACATTGTTCTGAATTCCGGCCAGACTTCCCCCGACACCCTAAAAACCCAAACATGTCTGGGTAAATCCGGACGTATGGAAACCCTAGTTGTGTCTGACAGGTTTAGAAGTGAAGTGAGTTTATTGAAGAAATTATATAAATTGTTTCAAATAAACTACTGACCTGGCTGGAAATGAGTGAATTGAAGGAATGAGTTCCACGCTTATTTACTCTGATTTAATCATTGATAAACTGTTTCAATGTCCACATTAACTTACAATCTGTTCCAGTCAATAAAAGGTAGTTTGGACTATATTTTCTGTGAAATTGAAGTTGATAGTTTCATCAGGAAAAAAATCTCAACATCAACATTGACTTGCAGCCGTTTCAATCAATAAAACACACTTTGGACTATATTTTTAGTAGTGATGTAAAATTCCCGAAATATTCAAAAGCCGCGAACATTCTCAGAAACTTTCTGGGAATATTGGAAACTTTCGGGAAGTAATGGAAATATTGTTTTTTTTTTTTTTAATTTATAGCTCAATCAACCAAATCATAGTAAGTAAGCTTTATTTAGGGCTGCCATTTATGAAATTTGTTACCTAGAACAATTTTTACAAAAACCCTGGATTCTAACCCCTCAAACCCGGACACCACTAAAGGTTAGCCCACCTTAGGCGCCGTTGGAGGCAGAAGATTTTTTTGGGTGACACGCCCAAAAAAGTTTATTTCAAGCCTTCGAGAACCACTCATTATTTTGACAAAAAAATCATTTTTTTTTTGGTTTTTTTAGCTTTCACCGAGCTCCAAACATGACTAACGACACGTGAACGTGAAACTTGAGTCGCGCACACGTGGGCTACATAAAACTGATGATGTCGATTCACGATTTCCATGATTCTTGTCAATTTCGCGGAGTTATTCGTGATTTTTTTCAAGATGTCGTAAAGCGTAAAACACGGATAACTTCAGTAACTTCTGTAAGATCAGCTAAAAATTAAACTATGTAGTAAAAACACTTTTATGGATGATTGAATAAGGCTTAAAGGAAAAGCGGATCCGATTTACCCAATCTTTCAGCTCTTTATTTTTTATCTTTCTCCAATGAAGATTATTTAAAAAAAGACAAAGTGTAGGCTGTAGGTACATCAGCTAATGATCGGGTAAATCGGATCACCGTTTCCGTAAAGACGGCTACATCACCCACATAAATTAAATTGACGTCACTGAGACCTTGTATTTGCAATAATCTCGCATTTTTATAAAATTCTTCTGGAAAGTTCTTGGAAATAATGGAAATATTCTCGAAAATATTCTTTTTAGAGTTTTTGATTGAAAGTTTCCGGGAATATTCTCATTCAGGAGAACGTTTCCATTTTTTATGGGCGAAATTTCCCAATGTACACGAATATTTGCATGGGAATATTCTCGAATCACATCACTAATTTTTAGTAAATTCGAAAATGATAGTCACTGCATATTTGCAAATGTCCTAACTGAAAATTCAATTTTTTTTTTCTCTGACAAAAGTTGATGAAACTTGTGGACACTTCGGAAAAGACCACCAACCAAACAGAAGAAGATGAAGAGTCCTGGCAGGTCATGGGCAACAAAAACAAAGGTTCAGTCTTGAGAAAAACCCAATTTGAAAAAACCCCAATCACTGATATATTTGGAGGCTCCCTAAAATCGAAAATAAACAGGATAGGAGGGCTGAGTACCGAGAATACTCAGCCTTTCCTTACACTTCCTTTAAATATTGAGGTAAAATAAAAATTCTTATTACAATAATTTCTGAATAACAATCCGATTATAGAAAGTTAAGACTGTATGTGAAGCTCTTGAAGCCCTAACAGGCAAATACCAATTGGAAGGACTAACATCCTCGAAAACTAATGAAGAAATTGAAGCCTGGCAACAAGTAATGCTGGACGAATTGCCTGTCATATTGGTACTTCACTTAAAATGTTTTGACTTCAAATTGGATGGGTGCACCAAAATTGTTAAGGCCCTTGAATTTCCTATTGATTTGAAAATTGATGCCAGTAAGATACTAAATTATTATTATTATTGTTGAAATACTGTAATTATTATTTGTAGAACTTTTGTCTTCAAAGACAACCAGCGCTAAAGAAAAACAATACAAACTATTTGCCATTGTTTATCATGAAGGAAAAGAAGCAACTAAAGGACATTATGTCACTGATGCTTTTCATGTGGGCTACAGTAGTTGGCTGAGGTATGACGATGCCTCAGTTAAACCAGTAAGTAATAACACAATTTTTCTTGAAACCAATCTAAATAAATCTTTTTAGGTTCTAGAAGAGGATGTGTTAAATCCTCAAGGAACCAGGGTACCCTATTTGCTATTTTATCGTCGTAGTGATACAATTAGGAGTAGATAATTAATTTGGCTTATACATTTGTTAATTACTATTAAGTGTCTTTTTATTAATTAAATTTATATATAAAAAAAATAGTTTTATTATATTGTTTAGGACATTGAAATAGCTGTTCTCCTGACTACAGCACTCAACAATTCATTTTTATCAGGTTGCTCAGTCATAATGCTCAATTTAACCCATTGCCTTGTCTGTGAAGATTGTTTAATTGCACCAAGTACTGCTTGAACGTACAAACCATCTTCAAAGTTTGCTGCACTAGAAACTAAAATTGCTTCACTATAAGTATTGCTAATTTGCATTAAATAATTATTACCAGGCTCCTTGATCCAACCAGCTTGATCATTAACAGGCAAAAAGGCCTCCCTTAAAGCAGCAACCATTTTACACAAACCTTTAATAAACGTTTTAGGCAGAGTTGAATTTGGAACTGGACATTTTAAGTCTTCAACATCCAAATAAATTACTTCTTCAGTATTTTTATCTTTCCTGCCAAATAAATCTCCATTTCTGACTGCTAAATGCCCAGTACTACTACAAACAGTCACTTCTTGTTGAAAAGTACTGCCAATTGTGTGACTGTTAATTGAAACAGTTACCAGGACCTCATTTGCGAGTTCCATCTGGAATGCGCAAAAATCTGGAGCTGTTATTTGCCTAATACCTTTAACTGTGTCTGTGTGTTTTGTGAAGGTCCTTACAACTCCGTGCACCCTTACAGCCCTTTCTCCAGTTAGAAAAGTTACTAAATCTATTATGTGACTACCAACTAAGTTTAGGGTTCCACCTCCCATCATTCCATCACATTTCCAATCAAAACAATCAACCTCAGTGAATAAAGAGCCTGTTTGGATTCTTATATCAATAAGAGTCATGGGTGAGCCTAAATAATTTTCCTCCAATTTTTTTTTCAGTTGCACAAAAGCTGGCAAAAATCTTGAAAAGATGTTTTGTTGCAAATTGTTTGAGGCAACCACAAAAACTCTTACCTAAATGAGTGATTTATAAGCGAAATAAGCGAAGGATAATACTGCCCAGCCCTGACCATTTTCAAAGCATCGGCCTGGTTTAGTCCGGCTGGTTTATCGCAAACTACATGTTTTCCAATTCCTAAAGCCTTAACGGAGATTTGAGCGTGCAAATTCGGCGAGCATAGGACAAAGATTAAGTCCACGTCCTTTTTTAGTAGGACGTCGTCGATTTTGTTGGTAAAAAAGGGAATGTTGAGGGTCTTGGCAGCTTCCTGGGCCTCTTGGAGGGTCCGGCTCCAGATCGCTTCGATTTTGAAGCCGTTTTCCCGCAGGAGCGGTACCAGGACTTTGACTACCGGGCCGGTACCGAATACGCCGATACCAGGAAGCATTTTATGATTTTTATTAATAATTAGTTTATTTTGTAGGTTGTATTTTTTTTTTGTTTATGTTTATTTACGTTTTTAAATGTCATTTGTTTGTCTGTGGCTTATGGGGCCATTACGCAAGGATGATACACACTACTACTACAACTACAGGATGGCCTATCTTCATGGATCATGGCCTGTGTGTAACAAATCCCCCCGGCCCACGAAATTACCAGTTTTTTCGTAGGCAGCATGTTATATCTCGCCTTGACGCAGTCTGTTTAAACAGCCAACAACTTATTTTTGACGTCAGAAATGGTAACACACCAATACGGCGGCGATTACCAAAAACGAGGCCGATAAGCAATCAGTGGAGGTGTGTCCGAATAAAGGTTATGAACGTACTCGAAGCGAGACAGCTCGGATCGAGATTCGAGAACCCTTAGAGCAGGTAAGGGTAAAGAGGAGTAGTAACGTTTCAAAAGCAAAATGCCGCGTTCCTACTCCTTCTGTCCGTAGGACAACGCTTTACCTGCTCTAAGCGAGAACCATTCAGCTTCTCACAACAGGGGCGCATTCACGATTCGACAACCTGGAACACCCGGGTTATATTCTACCTAGGTAAATCTTTTGGCATTCCGATCCGATTGGTAGATTCAGTGCGCACTGAGTGTATTTGCATCCTTTTATCAACCTGTAGAAGAAAAAGACATAAATAGAAAAAATTGCACTAGTTCCGCACTAGATCTACCAATCGGAAACGCCATTACTCGGGTAGTTGGAGTGACTTAAATGGATTAAGGAACACCCCAAACAAGGTAAATTGTGACATTTATTATCGATCTCCATTTGTTTTATGTTTTGATTTTGCTTGCATCACTTACATTAGAGTTTATTTCTTCATTTTCTTTGGGAATTGGATTTGTATTTGATCATGGATCCAGCTACCTTTTTTAAAAACGTTGTGATTATCTCAGAATTAAAAAAACACCATGAAAATATCGCGCATGTCGAGCAAATTTTACCTAGACGATTATGAACTGTGGTGTAATGTTACCAGAGTCGCTTTCCTGTTATGGGAGTGTGACGCTCGGAGCGTTGAGCTCCCGAGCTTTACGGACAAACGTCACTCGTCATGATACTAGAACGGTACAAATCTAGTGCGTTGCGCTCCCGTGGTGCTCTAGAGCGCGCCAATGTACCATCGTCACCAAAAGTAACTTGGACACATTTAGCTCTTGTCTTATTATATAAATTTTATTGTTAAATATTTGTCAAACTATGAATTAAATGCATTGAAATAAATGACAATAGAATTAGTCCAGGTCAGTCCAGGAGATTATTATGCATTATTTGTGTCCCAGATACTTTTGGTGACGATGGTACATACTGGAAAGCAGCTCCGGTTGAAACATCCCGATTCGGGAACGACTTATCCGAAGGCTGGAGCACGCCCGGAGTGTGCCCGGGCGTCTATCGTGAATGCAGTTGGGTAACAGAGTGACCCGAGAGTATAACTCTCACCGTTTATAAATTAACAGGTGCTTACTCGGAGCGTTACGCTGGAATCGTTCAGAGATCTAGAGACGATGTGCCAGACAGTGTGTTGATAGATTTTAGTCGGCACTGTCTGATCAGTCCAAAGAATCCACTGCAATCTACTTGCACTGCCAAAAATTACAGTTCCAAAAAGTTCGAACGCTGGACGAATCACGCTAACAACTCGAACACCAAAGTATTGCTCTGGCCGGGTAGTTGAACACGAAAAATATTTGCTAGTTAATGAGCAGAATCAGCCCGAACTCAAATTACTGCACTGCACTCGTAAAATGCGAGCCGAATGCGCACTAGTACTGGTAGTCGAATACGCCATCAGTTCTGTAAATCATCAAGGAATTGCAATTTTGATGTTCTTTTATACGCTTGAATTTTTTTAGATGATCCAACAAAGGTGGCACACAAAAACGTTACGAAAAATTGGTAAAGAACCCTTACGTCGCGTTACCCTTGCACCAAGACAAGAATCGTTTACTCCTGTCTACGTGACCAGAGTCTTTCCAGTGCCCATTGTTAGAGTATCATGCTCCTGGAGTGTGACGCTCTTGAACTGTTCGACAAAAGTAGCAGTGGAAGGCTCTCGTCTAAAGCCTAGTACTCATAACTGCGAAATTCGCACTTTTTTGACATTGCTTCGAAAATTTGACGTTTGATTCACGCATAAAACGTCAATTTGTCAAAGCAATGTCAAAAAAGTGCGAATTTCGCAGTTATGAGTACTAGGCTTTAGGGTGGATTTTCATGCATCCGTTTGTCCGACGAAAGATGTCCGAAAAACATTCTATTCTGACATAATCGTATAAAAATATGTCAAAATAGAAGATTTTTCGGACATATTTCGTCGGACAAACGGATGGATCATAACTGCGAAATTCGCATTTTTTGACATTGCGTTGACAATTTGACGTTTTATGTGTGTATCAAACTTCAAATTGTCGAAGGAATGTCAAAAAAATGCGAATTTCGCAGTTATGAGTACAAAGGCGTTTTCTCGCGTCTCAAATGTTTCAAAATATTTTTCAAAACTGGTTCAAGTAATGACATAATGACGTCATAATTTGTCGGCGCGAGAAAATGGTTTGAAAACGTGGATTGGATTGTATTTCGAAATGGTTTGAACCAATTTTGACGTTACGTCATGGGTTTATCGCGAGAATGTACTCTTTTAAAACAGTTTTGAACCAGTTTCAAAAAAGTGGACGCGAGAAAATGCCTCTAGGCTTTAATCTCCAAAAGCCGCTTTCCAGTGACCCTTTTTGAGTTACTCCTGAGCAGCTCAGGAGTACTCCACAATTACTTTGCGAGTTCCAGTGCTTAGAGTGTCGTACACTGGAACTACTTATTTCTGTTATCCCCTGCCCTTTCGTGCACCAACCTTTATTTCGGTGTTCCATGCTCTTGAAGCCCGAAATGGTGGGTGTAAAGACATTTTTACATGTGGTTAACAAAAACCTCAAATTGTGGTCAAATGAAATTGTTTTTGTGTGGCACAATAGAGGTGGGAAACTATCGAAGAATCTAACTATTGATATATCGATAGTAACGAATAAAAACTATCGATGTATCGATAAAAAAAAGGGTTTACGTTTTGGACCCATTTTATATTTGGGGTTTCAACAATTAGCATCTAATTAGTCGGCCTATTAGACGGTCAGTTCTTTCACAGCAAAAGTGCTGTTTAGTGCTGAATCCTAGTCTTAGATGGCGCAACGATCAAATTTCGCCCGTCCTGAATAACAATGTTAAATTACACACGTTCTTTTTTCTTTAAACTGAAAGTAAAAAACAGAAATAAGCACCAATATGAACTGAAATAAAGTGTAGTTGAGTTGTGGAGGTTGTTGTTGTTAACTGATGATAACTGAAAACATAACTCATCTTCATCGTTTTTAATTTTCATTTCAACTTTCAACTACCATAGTACCATACCATCGGAACCAAAATAAAAAACAATCATAAATATAAGGAAACCTCAAGGTTGCTTGAGAGAGATAGGTTGCATGTACTTTTATGGCGTCATCTGGGGTGTCTCAACAATTCCAAATCCTCTAGACACCTCAGAACAGATGACGTCATCAAATTACCCATTACCAGACAACCTATTAACTTCAAGAGCCTGATGCCTATGATATTTCTTGACACTTGACATCGCTGACATGAGAAAAGACAGGAGGCTGCTATCGATTGTCCAAGTAGAATTATCGATAGTTCGATAGTGTAGCAAACTATCGATATATCGATAATTACTATCGATAGTTTCCCACCTCTATGGCACAATCTGAAGTTGTTGTTTGCTAACAAGGATTTGACTAACGACTAATTTTGTCGCCATTAATCATTAAGCTTAGTTTTCATGCATCCGTTTTTCCGTCAGTCCGTTGGTCCGCGAATATGCCTATTGGTCCAATATTTTTGCGCCAAAATATTGTACCAATAGGAATACTCCCGGATCAACGGATTGACGGATGCATGAACAGTAAGCTTTAGGGCGGGTATTATAAAACTGCTTTGACAGTTAACTTGAAGTTAACTTTTTGAATTACATGTAATTCCAGAAGTTAACTTTAAGTTAACTGTCAGAGCAGTTTTATAATACCCACCCTAAATCAGTTGCCAAATAGAATATATATATATATATAATATATAATATATATATATATTAGAAGTTAACTTTAAGTTAACTCTCAAAGTAGTTTTATAATACCCGCCCTAAAACATTGACAAACCAAGTATACATAAAGCAAAAGTCAGCGGAATCATAGCCTGTAATGCAAACACCCTACGTCGAGGCGAGAAAGGATACGCTGACTACGTCATCACTGGTGCTTTGGCCTGGTGGAGAGCTTGAGATTTGATCTACAGAGGCCATACACAGATAGGCTATTCTATCTATCTTTTCTAATAAACCACATATGTAACGCTTTCGCCAAAAGGACAGAAATGATGTTTTCGACAGTTGGGTGTATTGAATGCAACATTCGATGCAATTTTATTCCTATGCCCGAATTGATTCAAAAACGTATTGGGCCTGCAGCAGGGGTTTTAGCCTGTGCCTGTTTGTAATTGAGCAAACATCCCTAGAACAATGGGCTAAAGAATTGGTTAAACGAATTAGCATTGAGAGTGGGAAATTTTTTTGGAGGTGAACAAACAGCCCAACATGGTTGATTACATTGTGGCGAAACAGCCAAGCCGGCACTATCGCAATCAAATCCACAGCAAATTTGCCATTACAAGACACCCAAATTCTAACATTGCGCAAATGAATTGAAGATCCAGGAGCAGCAGAACTTTCCATTGGACTAGAGATGTTTTGGAAGGTTGCAGAATGTAGATTAAAAAACACAGAACTACAACTCAATTATGATTTAATTTTAAATAAAAAAATAATAGTACAATAATTATATAAGTATGTTAATTAGGGACAATTATAGCCTGATTACCATATATATATTATATGCAATGTTTTATTCTGATCTTATTTTATCAAATAATTCTTTAACTTTCTTCCTTTGTTCATCATATTTTCGCTCGATTAAATTTCTTCTGTATTGAGAGTACAATTCAAACCATTCAGCAGCAGTCCAATGGGACTGTGCATTTTTCATCTTAGCGAAGCTGCACTCCTTAGAGTGGTTCAAGTGTTCATCCCAAGGATCGTCGGTCGATTCCCACCCGTCTAAATGCTTGTGGCAGAAGAAGCATTGTGCGGAATCGGGATCGCGAGACGAACCCGAGAAAATAAACCCAGCTTCTGCCATCTAAAAAAAAATTTAATTTATCAATGTGGTTTTTTGAATTAATTTTTCAATTACCTTATTAGCGTTACATTTTTCGTTGTTTTTGAATGGCCAGGCTTGGAAGGTTTTCCTTCTGGCTGGCTCTTTGAAATAGGAAATCTGAAATTGAAGTTATTTAATTTACGAAAAAGGGTATTGAGGTAATCAACACTTACCAGACTTTGGTATTTGTCTTCGATGGACATTATACGAATATTGAGTTTATTTATTTTATTTATTATCAAGAAATTACAAATTACAAAAAGTAAAATGTGGAAAAATAACAACAGAATGGCCGTTAAAGAAAAACAAAAAAAAAAACGGTTCAAAAATATGTCATTTCTTTTGACTTTGACTGACATTTATAGCGAATTCTATCCGTGCGTTCGTTATTTTGGTCTGAGTTCTCCGAGCTTGACTTTACCGTTCGTTTATTTAAAAAGTGTACTCGGTGCAGCCTCATTCGCGTTCGTTTATTAAAATTTCCGGTACTTTTATACGGCGTTCAACTGCTCCGTTCGCTCGCTGGTCACGTGATTACGGCTCCGCTCAGCTCGCTCTACACTTTGAGCAAAATATCGAACGCAAGGTATGGTAAATCTAGTGCAGAAAAAATTATTTCCATCTCTTTCTTATACAAGCTGAGCTGTTTCCCAGTGCCTCCTAAATTGTTTATAGAGTATCATGCTCCTGAGGTGCTTTCCAGTGACCCATTTGAGTTATTCCTGAGCAGCTCAGGAGTGCTCCACAATTGCTTTGCGCGTTCCAGTGCTTAGAGTGTCGTACACTTGAGCTACTCATTTCTGTTATCCCCTGCCCCCTCGTGCACCAACCCTTTTGTCTGTGTTTCATGCTCCTGAAATCCGAAATGGTGGGGGTTAAGACGAGAGCGTTCCAGTGCTGCTTATGTCGAGCAGTTCAAGAGCGTCACACTTCAGAAGCATGATACTCTAACAATTTAGGCACTGGAAAGCGGCTCTGGAGTGTGACGTCCTCATTGAACTAAACAAACACTCTAGAACGGGCGCATTGCTTTATGCTAGTGTGCCGAATTTTGATAATATGCAATTCAGCAATACAGAGGGATTGTTGTCTCGCTCGCACTCATTGCGATTAACGTAAAAGAAAGAAGAGCTTCTTCATCTTCCTAACCTCAATGAACCAAACACTTCAAACAGCTGTTCTCGATAGCCGCTATAGTGCAGAGAGAGATGCAAATCCCACTTGTTTGTTGTCCTTTCTGGCACAAACCCTTGCGTAGGGAACATTATGCAGCCACCGTTCCAGTGTGTTTGTTTAGTTCATTGGACGTCCTTGAACTGTTCGACATAAGTTGTATTCCTTTCACATCTAGGAGGAACTCCGGAACAGCTCCGGGGCGTTACGCACTTATTTGTTCCGAAAAGTATTCGTTGCACTACGCATCTGTTCCTTGCAAATCGGGGGCGGGGCGACTAGCCCCGAAGCGAGTAGCTCGAGTGTTTCAAACACTTGGGCAAATATCTGTCAATATAAGTAAGAAATAAAGAAAATTCAAGAGAATGGAAAATACATTATTGTTCAATTGTTCTGGATCATTTTAAAAACATCGACCACCATTTGCGTTTACGGAATGACATATCGATATGTCAAATACGTATCGACATACATTGAAAATTGAAGCGTATTTATCCTTGGTATCGATAAGCCCTCCCTTATAAAATCCTAGTTCTTGTTTTATATTTAAATTTAAAATGGCTGACGAAAACTTGCCTGCCGGCTGGGAAAAACGTTTGAGCCGTTCTACCGGTAAGTTTCCAATCGATTTAAACATCCAAATCGAATAATTCAATGCCTATTTAATTTAAAATCAATTGAATCATGCCTGCATTAAGGCCAAAGGGGGGAATTTTGGGTTAGAATACACTCATATTGTTTACATTTTAGGCCAACATTACTACCTCAACATCTACACGAAAGAGTCCCAATGGGACGCTCCAGATAAACCGGCCGAGCCGGTACAAACTACCGGTCCGGAGCAAGTGCAGTGTTCCCACTTGCTGGTCAAACACAAAGAATCCAGGCGCCCGTCCTCTTGGCGAGAGGAAAACATCACTCGGTCCAAAGAAGACGCCCTGGATCTGGTCAAATCATACCGGGAACAAATCGCTCAGGGCAAAGCCTCCTTTGCCGAATTGGCTTCGAAATACTCAGATTGTTCTTCGGCTAAACGTGGAGGCGATTTGGGGCCTTTCGGCCGAGGCGCCATGCAAAAGCCTTTCGAAGATGCCTCTTTTAGCTTGAAAGTTGGCGAATTGTCCGATCCTGTTTTTACAGATTCTGGTGTACATATTATTTTGCGTACAGTTTAAGAATTTTTTGTTTACTTGATAAGTACTGCCAAAATTGTATAGATTCACTATTGCAAATTGGGGCATTTAATAATTAACTATTAGGAAGTGTTTTGGTTAATATTTATTTATTTCTGAGAAGTAAATGTTATGTTGTAATTGTAATTATTTTTCTATATGAGGTAACTAAAAAAATGTTTTGTTAGGATTTGAATAAAGCTTAATTATAGTTGCACTTATAGACAATTTCAAAGTAAGGCATCATATAGTTAATAGTATTTATAATTCTCACTATTGGTTTTCCTAATCCAATTCAATTCCTGTTGGAAGCGTTATATTGGTTGAAACTAGTTTGCTGACTGTTTCCAACCAATAAAATTCACTCTGACTGGTTTGTGATTTCTGTGCGAACAGACCTTAAATCAACTTTTATTCTCAGGTCAGTATTTCACTTGAACAATTTATTCATGAGTGAAATGCTGCGGAACTACACTGCGGAACCTACCCATTGCTGAACCACAGCAATTTGAATGATGGCGGTTTGCACCGACTATTTTGAGGAAGCCTTAGCGATAAGTATTCCTTAAAGCGACATTTATCCATGTAGAAATGTCATTTTAAGGAATACTTATCGCTAATGCTTCCTTAAAATGGTCGGTGCAAAGGGCCATAAGTCATTCAAGTACGATTCTGATCCTGATCTGAAAATGAGTGAGTTCTTTTAACTAATGAGTAAAACCCACTCATTTATTTTTTGATATTATTATCGATATGAAAAAGAAATACGAAATACGAAACTGGAAAGTATATCGTATCGATATCTATGTATATCGATAATCTCATTTCATTATTCCTTGATCGTACGCGATCGATACCGATTCGGCTAGCGTCGTCAGATTCAAAGCTTTTGATTGGCGACTGAATCCGTATAGATAGATATTCCGATTGTTTTGTTTACACGTATGCAGCGGCTTCTGACAGTCGACGCCCCAATCAGCTGTGAGGCGTCGCGACGGCCTCTGACACTGCCTGACAGCAGTTCGATTTCGTTGGTTTTCCTGCGAGGTACCACCGCGTCTCCTGCTGTAAACCTCGATTTTTAATATTTTTCGTTTATTAATTAATTATTGTTTTCTTAAAGACTCTTTGTTACTAAATAAAGAAAAAAAAACGCAATTTTTTCCTGTTTTTCTATACGGGGGTGAATCGTGTATTTTTGGGGTAAATTCAGCAGGATTTTGCAGTAAAAACACAGGTAAAATTTACTATATTTCAACTATAATGTAAATCAAATGTTGCAAAAACGCAAAAAGTAGGTCACATATTCAATACCAAACCCACATACAATTTTTCTTTTATTGATAATTATTAATAAATGAAAGTATGTTGAAATTAAACCTATCAGTATTTAATTGGGTATAAAATAAATACAAAAATAAAGGTCAGATTTCACCTGTAAGAAGGGCCAACAATCAAACGCAGGTAGATTCCTTTCCTGCCTTGTGTGGGAGTTTTTGCATTGAACCCTTAACAACTTTATACGGGAGTTTTCCCATTTTTTAATCACTAGATTGGTTAATACATATTACCGGAGCTGATAGGACTTTTCGGAACTGTTTGGTGTTTAGTTATTAATTGTCAAATATTTAAGAATGTTTTTTATACCAATTTTTTCTAAATGCTTCACCCTGTACAAGGTACATAATAAATTATGCAAATGAGGCAATACGATTTTGGTACCTATTCTGTAACATCAAAAAGCAAGTATTTTTTTTTTGTTGTGAATTATGATTTTGGGAAATGGGTTAAATCCAGTCAAATCTAAGGGTTAATGCTCCTGATCATAGCTCCTCATCAAAAATAAAGATATGGCAACTACAGAAAAGCCCTCTGAAAGTAATCAAATCACTAATTACTCTGGTTCCTGGAGAAGGGGGTACTTTTGGACCTCAGTTTCCTGCAAGGATATTACACACTACTACTGGATAGCCTATCCTCATTCATAATAAGACCTGTGTAATTCAAATCTCAAGCCCCCCTATCAAGCTAAAATACCAGTGATGACGTAGGCAGCGTGTCGTTTCTCGTCTTCACGTAGGGTGTTTGCACCACAGATTATGATTCCGCGGGCTTTTGCTTTATGCAAACTTGGTTTTACTACATTAATTAATATTATAAAATAACTCTTTTTCATATCTCATTAGTCATTTGTATCTCCCTCTTCGCCTATAATCAAACTCAATTAACATTTTTCATCATAAATTTAAAAACGACCGCTGGCGCAAACAGCCGACGACTTGGTTAATAACGTCGGCAATGGTGCTACACCATATGACCGCGATTACCAAAAACGAAGCCGATAAGCATTCCTTAGTGTCTATTATCCTTGGCCATAAGGGTCGTAACTTGACAGATCATTTGACAAAAAAAAGATGATGAAATGGAATGCAAGGAGCAATTAAGGGAAGAGTGGAAGAGAAAACGTCAACTCCTATTTATGTCACATTGGGGCCGTAGCTTTAGATTGGAAAGCCGTGAAACAGAACAAAAATAAAGAGTCAAATTTTTCAAATTACACGCAAAATACACGCTTGTTGTTTATGTTCGAAAAATACACGTGAGCCAATCAAAATACACGCAAATCGTGTAATTACACGCTAATTGGCAACACTTATCAGTTGATGAATTTCTCAAGGTGTTCTAGGGTGCCCTGAGAGCTTAAAATCGAGCTCAAAATACTCCAAATTCAAATTTAGAAATGGTCTATGCAGGACTCTAAACAATCACTCTTGAGAATTTGGATCCTAAATTGGTCCCAAAAAAGTCAATTTGTACACTTAATCCAGCTTCAAAGGATTCAAAATATAAAATGAAAATGATTTTATGAGGTCCGACACAAAACCGCTAATCCAAATAGAGCAACTATAAATGAATCATCCTGTAAATAGGGTCAGTTAAGTAAGCCCCTCCCATATTTCCAAGTCCATTAAAACTTATACCATTTTTTTGCACCCATTTTGCACTGTTTTGCACCACCCGAAAAAAAATTTGCACCCCCTCAGGAGAGAAACTATATAGGGGGGGCCAAATTAAACATGGCCCCTCCACTTGCCAAATTTCAATTTATAATGCGCAAATTGTTCTCCGAGTTTTACACCATTTTGCTCAATAAATGTTAAATTTCGCACCGCAACCCTCAAGCATCTACAGGGGATTGAAAGAGAAATAGTGCCAAAGTACCGGTAATGACGTAGCAGCGTGTCGTTTCTCGCTTTGACGTAGTGTGTTTGCACCAGGCTATAATTCCGCTGGCTTCTGCTTTAATATTCTTAACTGCAACCGATGGCGCAAACAGCTGCCCACATAGTTGATGTGCTACACCTACACCAGATGACCTTGAAACCCAAAAAGCGGCCTATAAGCAATCCTTGTATAGTGTGATTATCGTTGGGTGAATTTGAGGGTAAATTGTAGGGTTTTTATTGCGCACTGAGTGTATTTCCATCTCTTTCTTTCAGCTTGTTCAAGAAACAGACAGAAATACATTTTCTTTGCATAAATTCTACCATCCGGAAATGCAATCAATTATGTTCTGCAGTCGTATTTTCGAATCCATTCGAGTACATTTAGTACACGAAATTTGAGTGACAGCAATGTAAATTAAATGAACAGCATTCGAAATCGTATCAAATTTCGTATGCGATAATATTCGAAAGTACGACCCCTGGACTGGGGTGCGATTTTCGAGTACATTTCGTACACGAAATTTGACTGCTTTTCATTTAATTTACATTGCTGTCAGTTAAATTTCGTGTACGAAATGCGCCCGAATGGTTTCGAAAATCGCACCCCTGATTCGGAATCGGTTCAAAATATGATCCGCGAACAAAGCTCGCTAATAATAATATAAAATAGGACGGGTTACTTTGGGTTAGTTTATGAGCGCTTCTCAACGACATAACTTTGTTCCAACACAGCTGGAAACCCTATAATTTACCCTCGAATTTACCCAAGGATAATACACACTACACAAGGATTGCTTATCGGCCATTTTTTTGGTTTCAAGGTCATCTGATGTAGCACCGTTGCTACGATATCAACTATATCGGTAGCTGCTTGCCCCAGCGGTCACAATTTAGAATATTAAAACAGAAACCAGCGGAATTATAGCCTGTGGTGCTAACATCCTACGTCAAGGCGAGAAACGACACCCACTACGTCATCACCGGTACTTTGGCACTATTTCTCTTTCAACCCCCTGTAGAGGCTTAAGGGTTGCGGTGCAAAATCTAATATTTAGGGTGCAAAATGGTGCAAAACGCGAGGAACAATTTGTGCTATTATGAGCTTTACGAATTTCAGCTGTGCATGTGCATGAGCTTTTTGAACCGCTCTAAAGCTACATCCTCAATGTGATCCTCAATCAATCTGGTAGCGAAGTGGCACTTCGACACGCGTGCTGGAAAATTGATACCCATCCTCAATGCTGTTAATTTATGTAATGGTAATTTAATGTACTGCGCATGACACAAGTTGTCACGCATCGAAAAAGCTTGCACTTCGGAGTCGGCGTGTATGCTAGCACGAAATTGAATTGAGGATGCCAACGTTAAACAAGATTGTCCTAGCATGCGTGCCGAAGTGCCACTTCGGTACCAGATTGATTGAGGATGGGCCTTAACTCCAAATTAATTTTAACCTTCGTCTTCCCACGTCATAAAAAATTACGTAGATTCCCGCGCAACGACGTAGCTATACCTTTTTCATGGGGGGGTTTTAGAGCAGTGGCGGCTCGTGGTCTGGGAAGGGTTTCAATTTTAGATCAGACGATGTACCTGGCATATAGGGACGCCACCTTTGAAAATAAGTTGAATTGAGAAAAAAAAAACGTTAATTGAAAGAAAAATGAGAAACAAAAATCCTTCAAATCTGATAACACATGCATTACACTTTACTATATATCTATACACAAGTCCCCTCCGGCATCTCCGGATGTTGCTTGATGTTGGGTTAGTTTGGAT